ACAGGCACGGAACAGCTGCTTTGAGTTCTGGGCATCAGGAAGTAGCGGTCCCCAGGCTGGGATGGGTTTGCTGGGGGGTGGGGGGTGGGGGGGGGAAGGGTGTTCTTGGGGGTCCCGACCAGATTTAGAAACCAGGTGGGGAAGACAGGCTCCTACGTATACACTAGTCACCTCTAAGTGTGCCTCTAAAATAAAAGGAGAAAACTTCATGAACAAGCTGAGACTTGTCTTCTATTGTAGCAGATTAACTGGGCGAGTGGAAACCAGAGTCTACACTCTGGGCAGAAATGGGCATCCTGATTCTTTGAGAATCGTTGCGGGATTTCTTCTAACACCCGGTGCTGCGCTGACTGGCTTAAACGGAAGCTACAAAGTGTCACTGTGCTGTCCCCGATCCTGTGGCGGCCTCTGCTAAGGGCCTGGGGCACACAGCTGCAAATCGTGATCATTCATTTACATGCCCAAACCGGCCACCAGGCCCCCCGCAAACCAACTGAGCCATCTTCTGAAATCTGTACAACCATAAGGGGGAAACAAACAAAAAAAAAGAATTCATGCCCTGTCATACTTCCCAAGGGAGGCTTCAAAAGGCTAACGTCTTGGCCATTTTAAGACTTCTTCAATGTTTAATTTGCTTCCCGCAAGCAGTTCATCGTCCGGAAATGAGTCCAGCAGCGGACAGAAAGCTTGGATTTTAGTATCTGGGGTCTCCCGTGCGCTTGGGTCCGTGCCTTCTGCTAGAATGTGCAGCAAAAGCACTCCTGTCTCCTGCCAGGTGCTGCCCCCGCCCAGGAGCTGCGGTTGCTTTTCAGATCAGCCTTATTTATTATGAAAAAAAATTTTTTTTTGGTAAAGTCAGCTGTAAATTGACTCGAGCTTATAAAAGGAGCTCACAACGTAAAAACCAGGAGCTGGTTTCCCATTTAAAAGTAGGAAAGACATGAAATGGTTTTCGAAGCCAAATAAAAGGAAAATCTCAACCTGACCCCTTTATTCTGAGCTGGTTCTCTGGGATCTCAGGGTAGATTCTTGAAATGGGGACAAGCACTGGGCTCGGTACCCGTCTACACATGTGATCAATTTCACTACCCATCTTGCCAATTTAAAAAATGCAAATCCCCATGTGACCCAGATTCCTTTCAAGACGGTGAAACGCTTTATTTTACTCCGGCCATGGTTAATTATACAAAACAAGCGAGCAATTCTCAAACAGTTGTCCGTAAATTCATATTTTGGGTCTTAAAGAATGCCAGGGATTAAAATAAAACAAAACACTTTTGAAAAGTGATTAGCCGGGGTCTGCGTGTAAGAGGCAGCTGGTGGCGAACCAGGTTCTATTTATGGCCCCACCTGGGGAAGCGTGAGCTGCCTACGGCCCCCGCTTGCCACAAAGTCTCCAACAGAAATGCACTGATTTTTGTTAAGTTATCTGAACAGCACCAGGGCATCTGATGGGCTCGGTCAACCGCAGAGGGAGGATGGCAAAGTCAACTGGTTAATCGTTAACCGAGCTTTTCCGGGTTTCAGTGGGTTGTCTGGGATCACGCAGCCGTGACAGGCTCATCACAAGAAACCAATCACGATCTTAAACGTGTTTAAGGAAAAAAGACGCACTTTTTAGTACCAACATAGGAATCTCCTCACTCTTTCCTCCGGGAGGGGGAGGTTTTATTTCTGACTTCTTCCAAAGCGGATGACTGCAAGATCGAACTGACCAACTTGCGGAGTTCAACGTGTTAAGTTACAAAACGGAACATCCTAGGGCAGTTGAACGGGACACAGATGCTACAAACAGGAGGGCTGAGGTCTTACGGCACCCCTCTGACGCGCGTGGACGTTTTAAACTCAGAAACGTCGACTAGAAGCTAGAAGGGCAACTTTGTTTTTCTGGATGCCTACAGGTAACTGCCAGAGGCAGGACTGTTTGTGGATTGCAAATGACAGCAGCGTAAGGGGGCAGTTGGAAGCTTTCCACATAATATTTCATTAGCGAGTGAAACTTGATTATCGTCAAAACTAGCCAGGGAAAGCCGGGTGTGAGACGCCTACGTGCCCACCGCGCCCGGCCCAACGACAACACGCACGCGGGTGTCCTCCATCGAGACTTTGAAGGACTGCCTGTAACCGTCATAGTTGTGGAGCGAGACAACGCCAACTTTTTTTAAGTTTTTTTTTTTTTTTAAAGTTGTTATTAAATATAAGTCTTAGCACCTTTGGCATTTTTGTCCAAATAGACTTCGACGTACGAAGTGGGGACATAACCCTCTTCTTCGTTCCTCCGGATGCGGGTCCACCCGTCACCTTTGTCTTCCTCTATAACGTACAGCGTTTCTCCTTCCACTACTGAAATGGTTCCTTCATTCTGCCCTGCGGAAGCAAGATCAGAGTATTTTAGGCGTCTCGCGCCATCCTGGTGGGGCACACGGAGCCTGGCCGTGAAGAAAGGACAGCCAGCAACAGAGGCACCCACCCCCTCGCCCGTTCCCCTCCAAGGCCTCCTCCCTCGCAGAAGCTTCTAGGCCCTCCCCCCAAGGCCCTTCTCCAGTTCCTCCAGGGAGGGCCCTCCCCTCCTTCCGGGGAAGCCAGGTGTCTCCCCGGGGAAGGGGAGGGGGGCTCTTTGCGTCGCTCTTCCTCTCTCTTGCGGAGAACAAAGTCCCAAGGCTTTGATGACCCCTTTTCCGACGACATCCCGACTTCTCTTTCTCCCTTTCTGGTTCTTGTCTGGAGCGAAGGTTCCACTTCTCCCTGCGATCTGTGTCCACCTCCCTGTTGCCCTGGCACCTGAACCGCCGGGCTCACGGTTATGTTATTATTACAAATAATAATACAAACCCCAAACCACGACTTCCTCCTCCTGCCTTCCCACTTCAGGGGGACCCCAGGAAGGCACCTTCGGGACCCCTCTCCGCTTTCCTCCCCCTCTTCGTTCCCCGCTTCCCATAGCCAGGAGTCTGACGGTTGGCTGACCGCGGCATCTCGGTGCCCACTCTCGAATCGCGGTCCCCAAGACCATTTGCGGGAGACAGTTGCCAAAGTCTAGCCCCCACGGCTCAAACAGTGTTCTGAGCGCAGACTGTCTGGGGCGCTGTTTACAGGGGGTGCCGTAGGGGTGGGGCCGAGGTGTGGGAAGGAGGCAACATCGGCAACATTTAACCTGGTGCTATCTTGTCACTATCAACATTTGGTCTGTGGCAAGGGAATCTGTAAGATCCCTTCGTTCCAGGGCTTCCCCAAACCAACCCGAGCTCGGATGGCTTCTTCCACAGCATCCTCGTTAGCTTTCTACAGGACATCGTGCTGGCAACGCTAGGCTAGTCTTTCTAACCCTCCGTCCCTGTTCTCTGATTGGTCCTGCACATGTGACAGTAAAGATCCTAAGGTATCAACACCCTGCTCAAATGCTTTGAATACCTCCTCCGTTATTGCCAAGTCAAATCCAAAAGCTGCTCTTACCCCCGGCCCCCCCGCACAGGTACCACTTTCTCGTTTCAGCTTCCCCTGTTCCTAAGACCTCTAAGCTCCAGCCGCACGAGCCCATGCTTTCCTTCCCTCCCTCCCTCCGATGTACAGCAGCCTGGAGGGTTCTCTGAGTTCTCTTAAGGATGGGATCTCACCTCCCCCCCACCACAGAGTGACTGATGTCCCCCTGTCACTCTGTACCCCTCTTCTGGTAAAGGCTGCAAATGTGTGTCTGCTCTCTGATCTCCGGGGGCGGATGCCAAGCCACACCCACCCACATCCCCGCCCCCCCGGGGCCTTTCCAAGACAGGGGCTCCAGAAGTCCTGGAAAGACAGATGAAAAATCATCATCATCCCACACTGTCTGCTGCAAGTAAACTCCACCAAAGCTGTTCGGTTGTGCGGACCGAAGGGCAAACTATACAGCAGTCAGCCACGTGATGATGACGATGACGACGGCAACTCTGAGCAGAAGGAATCTTCTAGAAAGATCTAGAAGGCTTCAGAAGAAGGTCCGGTCACAGCAGGAGGAGGGACAGCGTGCGCAAGCGGGGAACCCCGTGGGCCCATGTCACCTTCGAACGTGTAGAGGGCTTTGCAAGTCCCGATGGCAGGCAGGGGCTCCTCATCATCAAACTCGTCGTCGAAATCCGTGGCCAGCACCTTCACCTCACTCTCCTGACTCTGCTCCTCCGTGTAACTGCCATCCGGGCTGCTCAAGAAAGCAAAGCACACAGCAACTATAGCGACCGACCCCGGTGAGGGCTCAGACTCTGCCACCGTGCGAGCAACGTGCTTGCACACACGC